CCCATGGCGCTGGAGCTCGAAGAGGAAACGACAATCTCCTTGTGGTCCCTTTTGTCAGGAAATGTTATATCAGCTTCCCGTCCCTTTTCCTCGTCATCAGGAGTTAGATTGCTGGTGAACGAAGATGAGGGCGACAAGTCTGATGTGAGGACAGGGCGAACTCGACAGAACACCCGAATGTTGCCCTTGAGCTCCTGAACCATATTGTGCAACTTCCGGCGTACCATCTCGCTTTCCCTGGCGTCTTGCTCGAGGTCCAATATTCGTCGATGCGCGGTTTCGAGGTCGAGCGTCTTGTCTGAGGAGGTGGTCATTAAAGCATCGAGCTGCATCTGCGTAGCAGCCTTCTGTGCCTGGAGAGCATTGATCTGCGCATTGAGAGCAATATGTGAGGTAGACTGATGTGATAGTGTTGCCTTGAGGTTTGACACGTTATCTCTCTCCCTCTCCAAATCACTCTTCGCCAGCCTCAACTCATCTGCAAGCTCTCTTGCCTCTCGAGCTTTACTTTTTGCTTCCATCTCGAGCTCCATAATCTCCTTAGCATGCTTCATGCGCAACTTCTCGATTTCATCGCTTGCGCTCACCAACTCTCTCCGTTTATCAAGCTCAAGTGACTTGGCGTTGGCGAGCTCGAGTGATAGAGCACGATGGTTCGCTTCGAGCTCGGCTACTTTGGCGCGCTCCGCATCCATAGTTTGGGCTAGCCTTTCGGCATTGGCAAGCTGTGTGGATTCGATGGAAGCGACCTGGTTTTTCAGGTCACGGAACTCTTTTGTTTGTAATTCGCTTCCGCTAGCGACTCGCGATGCTGAAACGACACGTCCTGAAGGACGTATAAGTCCTGTTGACAAACCAAGTTGTTTTGGTGGTGCACTAGTTGCACGAGTTGTCCGCCGTGGTGCTGACGTTGATAATTTCGGTGGTTCGGGTCTTGTGAGGCGTTGTGGACCTGACGGCTGTTTCGCCACAGGGCCTGTAATTGTAGTTGGTCTATTGAGAGCGCTTCGGCTGGCAGCTAGAGGACGCGCTGTGGCACCATTACCAATTGCTGGGAGTTTGCGGGGTTGATCAAGAGCCTCTGCATCCAGATCATCTTCTGCTTTGCGTTTGTAGCCCAACGTCGACGTCGACATAGAGAAGCCCAGTGTAGTAGCGATAGAAGGGATTGGCGGGTCTGACGGGTCTGGAGAGGACCTAAGGCGCGGTAACCGCGACATTACGAAACGTTGAATCTGGCCTTACAAACACTTTGGGAAATCAAGTAACATTTTGGCGACGCGTCGGAACACGTGATTTTAAATAACCCCTTCAAGGGGGGTGGCACTCGGATCGCAACAAAATTCATATACCGGAAGTTCATACTTACACTCGTCTTGTAATGCTGACGCTCTCGGTGCGCTGCCAGCGCGTCTCCTGCCAACTGCTTGCTTCGTCGTCCACGAGTCCGCTCGCTCAGACGCGTAGCTATGCAACACAGCCAAAGAAAGGACAGATCGTAAAGCAGGCTTGTAAGTCCGCATTCACGTTAATTTAATATTGAACGTTCAAAATGCATGTGGGCTATAGCGCAGGGATTCAAGGGGAAGAAGAACACTCCTTCGGGTCAGATGGAACATGCAAAGAAGGATAAGAAAATGATGGTCTGTTCTCGTTCTTCGAATATTGATCATAGCCCGACTTCCCTCCGTTAGGCCTTCCAACCGTTGCCCGCCTCGCAACTTCCGCACCCGTTATTTGAGAGTGATTGTCCAGACACCCTTGCCTTGCAGTCATTCCATCCCGTATGCTTCAGGTTTCTTTTTCGTGTATGTTGGATTGATGCTTCTTAACAGGAAATGCTTACGAGGGTTGTCGAGTCTCAAGCACTCAAATTCCCCCATAATGAAAATGATCCCTTCCGTATCTTTGGGTTGCCAAGAAATATCCTTGTCGAGGTTCGTGGAATGTCACATTAACGCACAGGTAAATTGATCAGTTTACTCTTTAGTTCCGCCTGCTTTCCAAGCCCTGCAGCGTTATACGTTCTGTGACAATCGACGCAATTAGCAAGTTAGACGCGGCAAGTGATAAGAACAGCAAGGAGTCTAGGGTTGTTTTGAGTATGCTTCTAGTATACCTGTCACAGGTTTTCATTGACATCTTTTCAGCTGGACCCCAGGGCTGTGGAAAGAGTTATCTTCTCCTACAAGCCTTACAATATTGCAATGCTCGCGATTGGCTAGTCCTCTACATCCCTCGAGGTCTGTGCTTTCCAGACTTCTATCACAAGGCTAATCCCTGATGTCTCCCATAGCAACTAATCTTGTCAACTCCACAACTGCCTACACTTACGATATGCGAACTCGAACATACTCTCAGCCAATCTTTGCTTATCAGACTCTCCAGCGCTTTCTCAAGGTCAATGCACCCCGGCTCGAACAGTTACGCACCCAGACCGAGATAGAAATAGAACGTCGCCCTCCGGTGCCCCCTGGCACACCCCTCGTGGAGCTCATTAATATTGGCCTCAAGGATCAGGGTCATGCTCCGACAGTGCTTGGTGCTGTGCTAGAAGAAATTGGGAAGCAGACAATGTGAGCCATTTCGTCTTCTCCGTGTCCAAGACAAGCATAGTCTCAACGGATGGATCATAGTTTCCCGGTGCTTCTGGCGGTTGATGACTTCCAGGCATTATATTGCAAGTCGCACTATCGTGACCAACATTTTTCGGCTATCAAGTCGTACCATCTTTCAATGCCACGCCTTCTGCTCGAGTACGCATCTGGACAGAAGTCATTTGTAAGTGCCTATGAAAATTTGGGCGCCTCTTTATCTGAATAGAATAAAAATTAGGCCCGTGGTGCAGTCTTTGGCGCGCTCTCGATGAGCAACACAACATTCCCATTACCTCTAGAGCTCCGCGAAGCTCTTTCTCTTGAACATGATCGACCCTATGGATCATATGTCAAGCGACAACCGGAGCTCGTAGAATACGCTCACGGCCTCGAGAGGCTGGCAGTACCCGCTAGCCTGAGCGTGCCCGAAGCAGCATCGGTTTTCGAGGTGTGGATGAAGGACCGGGCAGTGCCTTCAAGTGAGTAATCTTCTTCGTTCATTTGTTTTGGGAGGGTCTGACAATTTAAAACAGAACCCAATGATGAGCTATTTCTGGCAAAATATAGCGAGGCTAGCGGGAATGCAAGAGCGTTTGTTTGGAAGGGATTGTTGTCGTCCATGTCAGCATAGTAAAGCATAACTTTTATATTATCTGGGTGCGCACTATCGATGGTCTGACGTTGCCTTTTTATGAGGGTATTCTGATTCAGTCAGGGAATGCTTTTCTACAAAACCATACTAGAAGCCGTAATGGGGTCTCACTTGAAGAACCTCGCACGATTTTAGCGTGGTTCATTGATGTGCGAACTTGAGCGCGATTTGACAGACTACGCCTTTTGTTGCGCTAGCTATCGAACGGCAAGAAATACGTTACGCAGTGGGTTTTCGGTGTGGTGCTCACAATTCCATTCAAGTTGGCACACATGCACTCACCATGGGGAAAGGCTGCGGCCATGCTTGAAACTATTGTTATTTTTAAGAACAGGTTCCCAATGGTCGATGCATATGAAATCACTCGTGACCTTTCCTGTTTCTTCCTCCTCGTGCACTGAGGCTACGTCATCGTATTTGAGCATACCATTTTGTCCACCACTTTATACACACTAATAGAACACATCATGAACTCTCGCTAATTTTACCCTAAACACATGCCAAGTCATAGATGCCATCTAGGATCTCCTTCTCCTCGTTTTGTGTTGTTGGGTGCATGTCCGTGGCATATCGCGGCCAAATGCACAAATAGCTGGCACAGGTGTGTCCGCGTCTTCTTCAGTAAAGTGAATTGATGCATATATATAACATTTTTATTCTGCGCCTGACGAGAAGTGGGCATCTCGTGCTAGGCTACAAACGCCTTCGCTCGTGCAAATCGTCCAAGAATTTCCGACTCCTGCAGTGCGTATTTGGACTTGTTTTTTTCGCGCATGTACTGACTGAGAACTTGTTGTACAGTGACTGTGATTCATTATGCCTCTGTGTTACCTGATTCACTCCAGTTCGTCTTTCTTGTGTTCACAGCCCGCAATCTTGATTTTTCTAGCACCATCAGGGTTCGCACCAGAGGTCAGGTTTGGAGCTATTAATACAATGAAGAAGTCGCATCGACTTCTGGCCGAACTCCGAAGGTTCTGTAGGCGTCATCAGGGGTATACTAGTACTATTGGGTTTCGCTGTCATATGGCGGGTAGAGGGGACTTCGTCATAAAGGTATCGGCGTCCGTTTTTAATCTTTCTTTAAACTACTCGCCGTTGATCTGCTGATTTGATAAGGATGTCCGCTGTCCGTTTGGACCGTATCGCATCTCGAGCGACCTTGGGAGTTGTGATGGGACCTGTGGTGCCTGCTTTGCTTGTTCGCCTGCGCGCTCCTTCCATAGTACCTTAGAGTGGCCTGGTGCCCAGCAACGGTGAGTCGCCGTCTGTCATTTCGTGGGATGAATGGTCCAAGTGTGGTTCTCATTGTCCACTGTAGTGTCCTGAATTTGCGCTGGACGTCGATCCGTTACTTTGATTGTTGTCCTTACGTCTTACATCTTTCTCCACCGCCAAGATCATTCATTCCCCCTATCTCTGCTTCATTTTCTCCCTGGTCTCTGGTGGACTTGCTTCCAGCTTACCGCTTCATCTCCCCTTATTATGACTGCTTGTCCTACCACCCTTCCCTTGGTCGTAGGGTGGTAGGGACTTCGCGCATCTTTCGCAACTCGACTAATTGAACAGTTTGTGATTGGGGTTCCTGGTTTAGCGTCAAACAGGCTATTAGTGTAACGTATTATGCTGTCAAGTTTGGACTTTGTAGAGACACGGCGATTTCACTGACACCGCCAGCTAACGTCACCTCTTGCTTATAAGGCACGTTTGAGTCTTGATTCTGCTTGTTCCTAACTTGGCCTTCGATACCAATGTCCGGAGAAACGCTTTCACTTCCCGCTCCATCTGATGAACAGGCGTACATGTATGTATCTGCCCTTGAAGGTGGACACATGCACGTTCCTTTGGATTTAATTTTTGCTGGTGATCAACCGGACGAACCGATAGTTTGCCCCTCGCTTGCATTCTTTCTACGTCACTCGAAGAGCAATAAACGAGTCGTTTTCGACCTAGGGATTCGCAGAGACATAAAAGAGTTTGCGCCTGCTGCAACAGAAAGGTTCTTGCCTACTGTAAAGCAGACGGTGGCAGAGTCCTTGGAGGCGGGTGGTGTTCAACCCTCCTCCGTTGACGTGGTAGTCTTGAGTCACCTCCATTGGGATCAGTAAGCCGTTCAGCGTCTAAGGTGGTATGGATTTCCTAATTTCCCCCAGCGTCGGAGATCCCTCCCTATTTACTACAGCCGAATTTGTGCTCGGGGAAGGATCGAAGAAAGCTTTAGCGGACCCTGGCTCCTGCCACAATCCTGCAGCCTTTACATCTGTTCGTGTACCGGAAGACCGTTTGCGTTTTATCACAACTTTGGACCTAAACGTGGCAATCGGTCCCTACCCCTGCGCAATGGATATCTTCGGCGATGGCAGCATGTATATCATTGATGCATCAGGTCTCTCTCTAGTGCACGTATGGGACTAGGGAACATCACTTAGGCTTGTTTGTTGCAGGGCATGTTGACGGGCATATTAACATTCTTGCGCGCACTTCCCAAGATGGTGCTTGGATCCTGCTAGGTGCAGATTCGGCTCATCCCCCCGATCTTATCACGGGGAAAATGCAGATTGCGTACCGTGTCGACCCGAATACGTGCTCGGTGATGTGCGTGCACGAAGATAAGGAAGCCGCAGAGGAGAATATCCGTAGAATGAGGTCACTGTTAGAGGTCCCTGAGGGTGCAGGTTCTGATTTCACATGATATATACTGGTATCAAGAAAACAAGAACAAAGACGTCTTCTTACCGCACATAATACCGCCGCTCGTACCGTGATGGATAGTGGATAACTCCTGTAGTACTAGCACCGAAACGTGCAAGTGTACCTTCACATTGAAAGACAAATGGGCCTCACTTGTCACGGAAGAATCTGCGTGGATAGCTTAGTACAGAACAAGTAGTGTTGGTGCATGAGTACACATAACGTCCAGTAGCGGAGTATGATTGACAACTTCACGGACTCTTACCATATATAGTTATTTCCCTTCGTACCGGCGCCTCTTCCGACTCAGTCCACTCTATCGAGACTCAGACCTGAGGGTACGTCCATCCCATTGTCTCGCTACGACCACTAGACACTAACACGCACTGTAAGAGTGTTTACTGGTGTCTAGGCATTCAATATTAGCCCGTTCCGTCGAGACTGAGGTGCTTATAGTCACTAATGGCGAGGATGGAATACATGGCACGGAAGTCACTCGTGTACTATGCATTTTCCCCCTTCCGTTATGTCTGTAATTCAGATATATCTGCCTTATTCTCCGGCACAATTGTTCAGGCTTGTTTTTGACGAACCCGATCCTGGAATGGAATGTAGATAGTCAAGTCATCATTTCTCAACGACTTAGAGCCGGACACTCCGGAGCTCCCAATCAGAAGTGCATGTCGACACGATCGTTCGCGCAGCTCACTTGCTGCCCATCTTTGGCGAGGCATCTGTCCCAGAGAAAACCAAGTACGTTCCATAAGACTCTAACTCTACTTGAGGCTTACTGCAAGTTCCATGTTAACAAATTCGCAGATCACCATTCCTTAGAAATAGCACCTCGAGTGCATTATTCACAAACTTGGTCGCTTCACTTATGACGGCTGTCCCGGCTTCTGCGGTTTTTTCTTCCCTTCCGGCCATGTGAAGTGACTGCACCACTGCCAGTGCACAACTATTGCAAATACCGACATTCGCGCCTACGAATGGTGCACTATCTCGCACTCACCTCCCTCAAACTTAACACCATAAAATTGACTCTTAATATACATGCAAACCGTTGCACATTTTTCACTCGTTGGAGCTCAAGCGCTCTAATGCACAAGACGACAAGACGACATTGCCTTGAGAACTTTACAGAACAATAACTCACTATCTTAACAATGTCCCTCGGAAGTGGAAATCGCGATGGAAAGGAACGACGAGTCTTCTCATTTTTTTTCGGGATCAATGTTTTGGCAAAGTTCGAAGCAAAGCACTCTTAACCGGCTTTTTAGATCATCCAGCATATCGCCCAACAGGTACAACTCCCCATTGACTCCCCAAAACACTGACAACTGATGTGCATCACACTGTGAGATGCACGGCGTCTCACTATTGATAAAATAGTAACATTTCGCATTGTTTGCTGCCTCAGGCTGCCGCTTCTATCCAATCGTTCAAATTTTCCCCGACGTCCAGGCCGTTGCAAACTACTAAACATGTGATGAGTTTGGTTATGGGATGGACTACTAGGCGCAGATCCTCATAGCCAGCTACCAGGCGGTTCAATTATGGACATGCCCTATGTGGGCTGAACTTCTGAAGGGCGGGTGGGAATGTCCGTACCACAAGTCAATGCTACTTGTCTAGAGACCACAGGATCCGAGTCCTACCCCCGCCGTTCATGCCACATCTGGCTGGTGCATCAAACCAATGAACAAGGCACTACCAGAGGACACTAGAATTGGTAATCATTATATCAAATCTTTGGCCAGGCGCCCCACGTTCGTATTAAGATCCGAGACAGTCCATTTTGATTTGGGAGGTGATTATGTCTTGACCTCGCAACGGTGTTCTGCGTCTTATTTTCCTCAAATGCTCCATTGGCACATTTGCAGCAAAATGATGTTTTCATTTCGGCGAACAGCGTTGGATGACATTGCTAGCACTGCAATTCTCCGTGGAATACGGGACGTTATACTTCGGTGATAACATATATGAAGGTGATCGGGCTGGTCACTGCGAGATCAATCTGATGGAACTAAGTGCACTAATCAGGCACAGGCTAATCCGAGTCAGTAACAAGCTTCACAAAGTATTGCTGAGCACTGCCCTTGTATGAATGCAAAGCAGCATCGCCATCCAAACCATGAAGGCTGGGTGGCACTTTGGTGGATGCTGCTCTGCCCCATCACGCCAACATTCTTGGGGTCGCTTCCCCAATTATTTATTCATGCCCGTTTACAACGGTGAATTAAGGGTTTTTTGGGCTTGGCGGTGTTCTTCAATGCTCCGTTCTGCGAGTGCAGCCATTTCTCCGTGCGTCTTTTCTGCCATCAACACCCTTTAACACCGTGTGGGTTTGATAAAATCCGGAGGTGATGGATTTGCTAGACAACAGTCGTCTGGGCATTCTTCCGGACCCCCTCAACCCCGCTGCAGCCGCAGGTATTGTCCGTCATTGAGCCAAAAATAGACCAACTGGGTCAATTACTCCACCCAGATGTGGAGATGCCCTTCATTAACGAATAAGTACTGTTCTTACTGATGGTAGCATGAACCCCGAAGGCCATCTTAAATTAGGTACAATTAAATTCCCATTGCGACATCATAAAATCGCTCGTCATAATACATACCAGAATACGCCAACCTCGATTGAGACATACATGTCAAATGAAGAGTTTGCGAGCTTTCTCAAACGGAGTGACGGAGTCCACCAAGCTGGTATCCTGCGCCCGCAGCGGCGACTAGTCCTTTATTGGACTGACCGCTAACTTGAATATTAGTGACGTTTGCTATCAAAAGTCTACAAGCAGCTCGCCTAAACCTGATTCGCCTATGGCGCCTACGTTGGCGTCTCTACAAGCGTCTATCTGCGAATGTGTTTGTCTCCTGGAGTCGGGCATTTCCTCCAAACAGACGACTCGCTGTGCTGAGATTGTTTCCTTCCGGCTGGATGGGCGAACCGCACAAGTATACACTGCCACTGCACAAATCCCAAACACCAGCCCTAGTGCCGGTAAAGAATGAGCAATGCCTTGTGATCATGATCACTGCCGAGGCCAAACACCAACCACGACGGTTGTCATTACTCAACAGGCGAAGCTATCGGCTATGATGTGTTTGGCAGCCCACTGGACCTGCTAATACCGCCACTGGGCACGGATGACTTCCTGGCTGCAATGTGGGCATGATCATCAGCTAATTGTCATACATGTGCAGGCAATTCTCTTTTGGAAAACGGCGTTTGAATAACAAGCTGGATTGCCGCAGGGGGGCAGTAGGAACTATCCGGTCCAACAACATGAATTTAGGGACGTTCGCACATTTGATAACGTTTCATGCTGTAGAAAAAGTAAAAGGGTAGGTTAGGAGCCGTTTGTAACTTAAATTCCAATCAGACGTGTCTTTGGATGCGTTTTATAGTGTGCATGCGGCTCATATGACATGTCATACGCAATATGAATACGTAAGATGCGAAGCAGGAGGGTGGTACAATCAAACTGTCGAGGGGTACAGCATCTACATTCGAATCAATATAAGGGTTGGGCAACGAGGAAACAGGGGAACGCACAATGCGGACGCTTTCACCGAATGCGCGTGGAGGGAGGTTGGATCTGAATTTTGATTTCACAACGCCGGAGTTGCCGTGTGGACGGGTGACACGACTGCAATTACAAACACAGTTATGAGGCCAACTGCACTACTGTTGCAAATAACGGACAGACGTACCCCCAAATTACACGAACCTTCGATCCCTGTACCTCCCTCTTAGCTTTGTAGACGTATGCTACACGCTGTATACACAACTGAGTCTATCTTTGGATGTAGAAAAGGGGAATGAATGCGTACCTTGCCGAGGTAGAATTGGGCATCCTCCTTCGTTGTGACACCCTCGATCTGGATGAGGGAGGTGTTGGGGCGAGTGTTGCGCTTAGCACGCTTGTGGCTGAGGACGCGTCCTTTGGAGTAGAGCCTGTGCATCAAGAGGAAGCATGAGTACAGTCTTGACCTTGCACCGAGAAGCACTTCATCCGTATCAGATCTAAGCCATCCACCCTGTTGCAAGCCATCCACTGAGATCTTCGCCAACGGAGTACGCAAATACGACACAGCGAAGCAAGCTAAGTAGATACTGACCTTGTTGAACCCATTTTGCCGTCTAGAAATCTTCCGCCGTGTCGAGGTCGCTGAACTTGAGGATGAATGGAAGGTAGCGTGACAACGTCACAGTGTAGTAACACGTAACACGTGACCATGTCACTTTTCACAAAGTATAAAGGACGTCAAATATCTTGTTGATCTACTAGTCATCGTTGCAGACGTCTAGTGCTGCACTTGACGACGTCTTTACCAGACATTGTCGAGTAACGGAGCGATGGGACATAGAAGCTTTCGTTTTGTATAAGCAGCTGACTGTAGTAGAACTTGTTCTACGATAGCATTGCAGTTTACCACAGAATGAAACTACATCCTTCTCAACTTATCATGTGTCTTCGCGGGATCTTGGCCAATCGTGTTCAAAACTCAATAATAATAACAATAAGACATGACGACTTCAGATGCTCATACTGGCTCTTTTATTGTCCGGCCGCCTAGGCCTTGGTCCGGCCCTTAATCCTAGGCTCACAGCAGTCGAGACTTTATAACCCAAACACCACCGCAACAGACTTTCAAGCACCCTACATATACTCTTCCAAGGCTTCAGTGAGCTCAAAGTCAGTTTGATTGCCAAATGAATCGGGTTGGCCCTTCAGTTTGGCGGCGCTTCTCTTCTACATCCTCGTCTCCAACTTTCGTAGCCAAACCTGCACCTTCCAAAGCACGTCATCATGTCCAAATTCCAGATACTTCCTTTCCACTTGGCTATAGCCTGACTGGTGTACATTGCGGCGTGAAAAAGAATCCATCTGTCCTTGATCTAACAGTTATACTTTCGACCTCTTCAAAACCTACTTCCGCAGCGGCATGCTTCACTCGTAACGCATTCCTTGCTGCCCCGGTGCTTGTCAGCCAGGATGTACTTGAAAAAAGTGCTGGCCATGTCCGTGCAATCGTGACTAACAGTGGATGTGCCAACGCAGTGACTGGCAAGCAGGGTTTGGAAGATGCTTGGGCCATGGTCAAGGCCACCGATGCCCTTCTCCCCAAACGAACCAAGTCAGAGTCTAACGAAGATATCCACGAAACAGTCGTAATGTCGACAGGTGTGATCGGCCAAAATCTTCCCATTTCCAAGATTCTCTCCGGAATTTCGTCTCTTGTACCCTCGAGTCTTGGCTCAGATTTCGCAGCCTGGGAGCGTGCGGCAAAAGCCTTCATGACCACTGATACATTCCCCAAACTCCGTGCTCGGACTTTCAGCCTGGGCGGACAGACGTTCCGTATGGCTGGGATGGACAAAGGCGCTGGCATGATACATCCTAACATGGGTCCCCCCACTAACCCCGGCCAACTTCATGCTACGTTACTGGGTTGTATCTTGACGGATGCTGCAGTTTCTCCGCAAGCCCTACAGTCTGCACTCACGTATGCAGTCGAGCGTTCCTTCAACTCTATCAGTGTGGATGGAGAAATGTCCACGAATGATACGATCGTCGTTCTCGCCAACGGAGCTGCTGCTGGAGAGACCAAGGAGATTGAGGAGCACGATCCTCTGTTCCCGGCCTTCCGTAAGGAACTTACGTCCTTCGCCGCTGAGCTGGCTCAGCTTGTGGTTCGTGATGGTGAAGGCGCAACTAAATTCGTTACTGTGTCCGTAGAGGTCTGTCGTCCTAAGGTTATCTATCTGTTCCATTAGCCTAATATGTGCAGGGAGCACCGACATTTACCGATGCGCATCGTGTCGCATCGAAGATAAGCACATCAGCACTGGTGAAGACCGCATTGTATGGTGAGGATGCAAAGTACGTCAGTTCACCCTTGATCGTGACTTGCCACTGATTTGGACAAAACTTACTTCAGTTGGGGCCGTATCCTTGCAGCAACTGGCTCTGTTCCTTTGTCCACACCCATCGACCCCTACCGCGTGAACGTCACCTTTGTTCCGGCAGACGGTACCACTCCACTTCCAGTTTTAGTGCGCGGCGAGCCCGAGCTAGTGGATGAGGCGCGCGCGAAGGAGATCTTGAGCCAAGAAGATTTTGAAATCAAGGTGGATCTCGGCCTGGGCAGTGAGAGCGCCCAATATTGGACGTGTGACTTCAGCTATGTAGGTTCTGTGTGTTTTCCCTCTAGACGCAGGCGCTGATTCGTGATCGCAGGAGTATGTACGGATCAATGGTGATTACAGAAGTTGAAGGAGTCTGCTGTGTTTGCTCTGTTCGATATGTATGATATCAATGTTTTCTCGTGGCTGTTGGGGTGTGGGATCTGCAAGCCGTCGATTTGATTTCGGATATACTGTCGACACTACTGTGGCCGTGCATTTGATTGTCGCTGCGCAATGAGAACAAGAACATCTCAGGCATGAAGATCACGCTGGACCCTTGCCAACTCTCGATCCGTCCTATTTGTTTTGGCGCATGCTATGTCGCGTCCGGTAGAACTTCGACTCAGCGCGATATCTCCATGTTTTCCAACTTACTCGGCGGAGCTTTGATGACTACCTTCGTGGTGGCGTGCACAAGAACTTCAGACAAGTACGACTTTGGGCGTGACATGAGCTTGTCTTCAAAAATCAAGACGCCTCGTGTTTGTAAACACCTGTGAGCGTATCAACTACAGCCAATACAGCGAATCGTAATGCACGATTTCCATCAATCCCTGATATCATCGATACCAACCCATAGATCCCAACGTGCTACAGATCAGCCATCAGCATCTTGATCAATCCCTCGAGCACCATAAGCTGTCCAGGCCGCTCCGCATTTGCAGAAGCAGTATGAACAAAGGTTTCCATGCGCACAGGATACGGGCTCTTTGCGAATGCTGTGGGTCCTGTGTCTGGAAAGAAGGAACAAAACTAATAGTACTTGGATAACTCAGGAATCTCTTATTTTGTCCTCCATATCCTGTATAACGGTTAACACCGTTCTGGGAGCGAAAAATGTATCAATACGAAGGCGGTCAGATTTGAGATAGCTAAGTCCATGGGATCTGGGCTGCATCGACTCTCGGCGGTGGACATATCCCATAGCTTCATCATGATACACCGTCGATGCCGAATCGCATTCTGATGGTTTGTCTTGTATGTCCCCACCCCCAAGGACCACTGCTATACATACCAAACGGCCCGAATAATTTGCAAATTATATTATCGTAGTGATTCGACTACATGATTTCTACCCTGCTTCAATACTTTAGGAAAGTGATCAATGGAGTGACTTGAGATCAGAATTCAAAAGCACAGCAGTTGCTCTCTTTGTGTTTATCTTCATTAAAGACTCCGTTACTGCAAGATGTAGACAACGACTTGCTTTTACTATGACACACCTTCCTGTGCGTGCACAATTAAAGAGCAAGACTACTAATCCACGCCTGCGGGTTGGCTGCTGATTACGGCTGACCGAAGACGCGGACAGCATCGCACGCGTTTGAAATCCATAATGCTAAATCAAAATCAGCCTCAATTGACTCAGTGTACGCCGTGACTGCTGGTTTTGCCGCATCTAGGTTGCGAGCTATTACATGTATATGTTTCACCCCGCACAGCGATTTCATCGACCTTCGACTTATCATCTCATCGATACGATCCATCCGAACAAACCCCGCGTAGCGACATCCGGCGGCGAAAAATCAGAAACAGAATTGCAAAACGATGTAATTGCTGTATGCTGCGATGCGATGCGCCAGATTTGATGTAGCACGAGGTGCATCTGCGATTGATTCTGAACACGTTCGTTGGGAATAACGATATGATGTGTCCATTCGGGCCGAGTATCCCAGTCCGACTCATCAGTAAGATCCCCCGCATACAGCTGGGGGCGTATCATGATTATATGAAAGTCGATGTGATATAATCGGGAGGTCTATCCTTTATTACGTCTATACGTTCACAACAGCAATTTTGCGGGATGAGGGAAACCATCTTTGTCGCCTGGGAACATCAGCTATGGACGTTTACATCACGTCGACGAGCTGAATGTTGGGGATGATGTAAGGGTCCCGCAGTTGGCGGTACTGACAAGAGACCACTGATCAGCTCTGAGTAGCAAGAATATAGTGCAGGACGTACGTTGGTAGCAGCTTCGAACGCACAAGCATACTTGACAAGGGTGGCCTCGCTGAACCGCCTACCATAGAACGACAAACCAAAGCTAGATAATAAAGAGATAAGCACTCGATATGTAGGTAAAGAACACTATGCCTTACGGGAAGTTCGGCCCTAGCTCCACCAGCGTGCCACGTGAGTTATAGGTAACGTTCGTAGTTGCGGGGTAGTAACCAAGCGGGACTGTGACAATGGGGTACCCAGCGATGGCTGCATATCCTGGTGACATCGAGCTTGGAATGATTAGGGCATCAAGATCATACGTTTCCAAAGCACCAAGGATTGCTGAACGTGTTGTCATGCAATGTAGATGATGACATCAACCGCTGAAACTCACTGGCATTGGATCCATAATAATATTGTTCAAGCAGCGCAGTATAATAATCAGCATCTCCCATGGTGATATTAAGACTCGCAGCACCAAGCCATCTGATTGTTTCAAAAATGGTAAATCAAGTTAGTTCCCATCATGATGGGTCAACTCACGTTGCAATGTTGCGATCAGGCTGTCCAACATAAACCTAGTTAATAATAACACATTTGTGAGTCACAAAACGCACGTAGTCCTCTGGAGGATATGTCTCCGTGAAGTTTATGAGCTGTTGGAGGTTTCTATGAAGCAGCTTATAAATGAGCGACGAAAAGTGATCAAGAGTCTGACAACGCACACAATATGGTTGGGGTTGGTCGTCATTTCGTTGAAGTAGTTTGCGACGTCAAAGACAAAGTCAGCACCGACGACCGGATCCGTGGTGTACTAAGCGAGGAACATTGTGAGTTATCAAAAGCAACAATCAAGTGAGAGCCTCACACCCGCCCCAGTAAAGTTCAAGTATCCAGCGAGGTCTGGAAAATCAGCATTATCCACTATCGTAGCACCAAGTTTCTTGAAAATGTCGATGGATGCATTAAATGCTGTGATTTCTGGACCATTGGTTTTAGACACCGTTATGGCGTTGCGCGGGATGCCAATCTTTGCATTTTGTAGGCCTTCGCTAGTGCACTCGGCTGCATAATCAGGGATAGTTTCGAATGGGATAGCAGATGTATAGTTGTCGTGGGAGTCTTCGCCTGTCGAAATCATCAGACCAATAAGTTTGACACGCATCAGAAACAAACGCGCCTGCAATCACGGACAGGATGTATGCTGCATCCATCATTGTTCGGGTCAAGGGACCAATAGTGTCCTGAGTCTGCGAGATCGGGACAACGAGGTATCTGCTGGTCAACCCGACAGACTGAAATAATAATACAGTTTGTATAGAGCCATAGATCAAAGCAGACACGGAGACATACAGGCTTGATTCCAGTTAAACTATTTCTGCTTGAAGGAGAGATGATAGAGCCAGATGTCTCTGTCCCCACAGCAGCAGCGGCCAAACCGATGGACGAGACGACCCCAGGACCACTGCTGGATCCAGATGGGTCTTGCATCGGGTAGTAGGCACCCATAGTCTGGCCGCCACGAGACGTCCATCCATTCGTCGAGTTCGACGAGCGATAATTGGCCCATTGAGAGAGATTGCACTTCCCGATGATGATTGCACCGGCCGCTTTGAGCTTCGCCGCAACCGTAGAATCGCTCGGCGGAATCGCACCAAGCAGGGCAAAGGAGCCGGCTAATACATATTGAGCTGAAGCGGCGTAATAGATTCGGTATTTGTTACTGACCGGTGTTATTCATCTTATCAAGTGTCGCGATGTTGTCCTTGATGCATATCGGGATGCCATGCAACATTCTACAAAACAATCAGATTGAGGAACGTGGAGATCAGAATAAATAAAAATACCCTCTGGTGGATCCATCCGTTCTTTCAGCGTCTAGAGATGCTGCTATCGCAAGAGCATCGGGGTTGGTCTCGATGACCGCATGCAAAACAGGGTTGACCTCGTCTATACGAGCCACGTATGCCTTTGAAAAAAGAGGTATGAAAATGGATCGAAACAAAAGAGAAAACTCCCATACCTTGACAAGGTCTACACTGGTGAACGTGCCAGCCGCAAGACCAGATTGGAGATCGTCAATTGTCGCGTATAATAAGTCCGGCAGGGCCTGTCCTAAGACGACTATTAGTTTTCGAGATAGAAGATCACGGGTCTTGGCATACCATTCCTGGGACTGGTTCCATAAGTGACATAGGCTAGCCCGGAACCCACCGACAGCAACGTTGAAAACACCAAGCTGAGCTTGATCGCAAACATAGTGATTATTTCCACGCAGAATTTTGCGTATGCAATACCGTCATATATACTGTCCATGGGCTTCAGGACATGTCATGGAATAAAATCGGTGTCAGCATACGTCGCAAGTATCAGCGATAAGGTGAGTAATATTCTGCACGTACATGAGGCATATGAAACACTTGACCAGTTGGCGGAATCATGTATCAGGAGGTGTCGCGTGGTATCGACACCCAAATAAGAGTTACGTGATCTTATCTCCAGCATGATGCTCCTCTCCTCGTGACCAGGTACCCAAGGCTATGTTCAAGCCTTGACGGTATGCCGAAGCCGTGGCTTGAAATTCTGGATACAGAAATGAGAGGAAGTGAAGGAACTCCTTGACACAACGAATGTGTGTTCTTGAAGACAGCGCCCTTCCGCGGGACTCCGGATAGTGCCAGGTCATAGTACTTTGTGGCCGAGTCACAGAAGTGATCAGTTGCAGGAGCTGTAGATCTCTCACCTTCTGCACTTCCAGAAAGTACAACGTGCCACCGGCACGATAGAGCACCTTTACATAACTGAGTTAATAAGGCTTTTGCCACAAGATTCTGGAGTTTCTCGTTGTTCGAAACTTCGCGGCGAATTGAATGAACACGAAGGTTTCCGAGTCGGCAACGTGTCGCAATGCATCCGCGACGCTGAAACTGCCGGAATCGCTGATGGGGACGTCGGCTGCGTGGGTTTGGTACATGTAGAGTATATCATTGTACTAGGCTGGAGTTGAACGTTAACTTTGCATTAGGATTGGCCCGCGGGCCGTCTGCAACCGGCCGCCGGCATGCCACATGCACGAACCTCTCATACTTCTTCGATGCACGGCAGATGGGCCCAAAACTCCTCATTCTCCAACTCTTCGTACAGGATGATGAAACGTTATCACTTCTAGGGAATTTTACGTATGCCTTCGTTTTCTCGAAGCATGATTCGGACGCAGTTGAGCATGGCATTCGGGTGATGTTTGTTTTGCGTTGACTATTTGCAGATTAGCTCGAGACTGATCAAGTAGTATCACTAGCACGGATCCATATGCGTTATGCTATACGTACCGAAGATTCACGTTACGAGGGGGCTCAAAGGGGCTCATCAGTGATGCCGCCTCATCGGCATCAGATTTCGAAAGTATTTCTGTCCAAGATGTGATTGATAACCGGTACATACGATGCAACAATTCCGTATCTGATGATGATATCACGATTCATAACGACTACAAGGAACGGGCGGCAATCTCATCGATCGCTTCCTCTCTCTCATGCCCCTCTCCGCGAACACGGCAACGTTCCCAGGCATCTCAGCGCACTTCCATTCAGCACGTATTGGCACTGATTGGGTTATATTCCACGTTCTCCAGGGACATCGTACGATGTCCCGTGAAATGGACTGATGCCAGTGTGGCGTTCATGGTTAGAGCAGCCCCACAGCTAACGACTGCGGTAGGACTACTTCCATTCCAGTATGAATTATACGTTGCAGTGTGGGGAATAGCGCAGGAACGGGGTCCGTTATCACGTTCCATATACGGTTGGTGACAGCGCAGGCAGTGCCTGAACGCACTATCATTATCCCCCACAGCAGTATGCGCGCTAGAATTCACAACCCCAATACCCTCTAGCACAGACAGAAAATCCGCTGAAAGAATCATTCAATCAGATAACGCCGTTGCAACATTTGCATTTGCTGTGGCGTAGTGTTGGTCGGCCATCGCCTCGAGAGCGGTTGCTACCAGTGAAAGATGCAGCTTTTGTCATGCCTCTTTGGGATATTGGGCGAGCGGTCGCACTTTGCATGATGATGATCAAGAGATACGGAGAAGCGCAGGATCAGATAGGCGGATGATCTCGATGTTCAAGATGATGGAGTCAGAAGGGGAGGCGATATTTATACCCAATCGTGACGACAGTATCTCAAACACTGGATCAAAGGAGAAATGACAGGTTAACTTGAAAACCCGTTCAAACCCGTTGATCGATCGATTGCCTGCAAAGTCGAGACAATGAGGCTGCTGATGGTGCCGCTCCTACCCTGTACTTGGATGCTTGATCATCATAAAGGCGGTATCGGTCAACACAGTGGGATGGCTTCAGGAAGACAAGATGTTTCCGGTCCGAGTCATTTTGTTCCCGGGGCTATCCATGATCTAGGGCTGAGGTACGGCCCCGCAGCCTGCGATCCACGTGCAATCAGGTATACGTAGCCCTGGCCACCCGATAGATGTCAGCGGAGAGAATAAAGACAGCCACAAATAGAACAATATTGTCATCCGTAAACACAATTGACAGGTATAACATGAATTCGAAACGCGTGTCAAAGAGTACTCGTCAGTTGATATCTGAACTCGAGCAAACAACCACGACAATAAGCTGAGACGAACTCAACTTAGCATCGGTGGCGTTCCTGGAAATACTTTTACTAGTACTGTTCCCGCTGTTTGTTCAGGGACGTGCCTTATGCGTACAACAACTTCGCAAACTCTCGTTTGTCAGTCCGTGGGGCGCAAAGCCATGCCAAGGACGTTATGGCACACTAGCTTATCTGCGTAAAGCCGCTGCATTGTCACGTTCGAAAGCGTCAATTGTCAACACTGACGGAAAGAGATGATAGCGTGGTATGAACATTTCTCATGTGAAAGAAAAATGATGCCTAACTGAGCGTGACGACCAAGGGTCGTTGTAAAGCGGGAGAAAATGCCCGAGAGAACTGAGCTCATTATTAAAAGACGATTGGAGTGTGCGCTGTGATCCGCCTTGATAGGGTGAGTAAAAAACCACGGGAACCTCGTGAACGTGAGGCAACACAAAAGTATGGGTTGTAAGAGTCTCGACGGGCGTCATCCATGAAACACCGGATGATGATGATTAGCCATCATGATGGGCGTTGATGCAAACGTGGAGGAATGATGGGCTGGCGCTACTACAGCAGTTGAGGACACAGTGTATGGCACGGAGAGGAGAGATCCATTTAGAGTGCCAAATCAAAAAAAAAATGAAAGCTTCGGAATCTGATTGATGTACAGGGTCGTTGTGATAGGGTAGGCGATCAAGATGATAACCCGGCAAGCAAATATAGAACAAAGGCAACACTGGAACGCAGCAAGTTGAAAAGTTGGAGACAAAAGATCATTCCGAGGTCGAGGATGGTGGCAGTTTTGATCAATCATGATGAGAATTTGTGTTGAGGAGGAGGGCGGGGATGATGTAGATGGCACGTTGGTGAGATGATCCGAGGGGAGTCGCGGGGATTCGCGTTAATCGAAAGATTACAGGAGCGCGGTGAGAGCGAGCCGCGTGAGCCGCGAATGGAACTATTTTTGAAAGTCCGATTACTAAAAGTAAATTATAGGTAAAACAAGTAAGTAATAGATAAAATTAAAATGAAAGTGTTTTACTGGGTGAATTCTTTGAGTTCAACTTCTTTTTACTTGTCCATAGACCGAAATTCGTACAACAGGATCTCCGCTTCCCCCTTTCCATGTCGGATCACGTTCCCGTATTACCGCAGGACTCAGTTGATGAATGGCAAGTACTCGAATACTTTGTAAATTATCTAACCTATACTAACAATTGATTTATATATTAAGGGAATCTCGTCATCACCAGTGTACTGATCATCGCCTTCCTGATATCCGACTACCCGCTCCTGCACCGGACAATATTAACCCACTTTCAGAATCAAGATCTCAGGAAACAGCCTTGACTCCAAATTTAACACTTCAAGACCCCAGCTTAGATCAGCGCCGTGTTAGTTCTTTATATACTTCTATGGCCGTGCCAAGTTTGATTGTTGATTTGATATCAGGTTTCGACATCTTCGCCACTGCATAAATCAGAGCGTTCCCTCGTCTTTCAACACCACTCATCATCACCCACTTATCCAGTTCTTCCTCCCCTTCAAATGCCTCACCGCGTTGACTCAATGCCAATGCCGTCCTCGTACGTACTCTTCATCACTTCCTTTTCTTCATTCAATTGATTTATCTAACCTTTTACTAGTCATCGTCGCGACTATGATTATGACTATGATCATTCATACAGGAGGCCATCTCCTCCACCAATTGCAACTTTGTCCCATTCGCCTTCGTTATCCGTTTCATCATTAGACCGTTCATCCGTATCTTCCCCGGCGCCACGCCGATCACCCACTGATCGTTCAGTTGATTCACATTCAACCTACTCTGATGCCTATTATTCTCAAGATCAGATGGCTCGGCAGTCTAGACCCTACCCGCATGACCCAGTCCGAGACTCGGGAAGGGTCTCCCACAGCTATTCTTATACCCCACGACCTCATCCTGAGCACAGATACTCGCATGACTCCCACCCATACCATGTGTCTTCTTCCTATTCGAGCCCAGCATTGGCACACAGTGCTGCGAGTAGTGGACGTGACAGTTCACAGCTGCCGTATACACTTCCGGGTCAAAGTTACCATGCAATTGGGTATACGGACGATGCAGCTACGAAATTAAGTGACCGTGTCCGTAGAAGGTGCTTCAATTGCTGTACGACGGACACGTCTACGTGGCGCCGTTCTAACTTGAATCCTGGAAAAGTAGTGAGTTTACTCGTTTCTTGTGTCTGCGTTGATCGGTAGGCTGACTAAATTCCGTTCACTCGCAGCTGTGTAACAAGTGTGGGTTGTTCGAGCGGACTCATGGTCGGTCTCGACCGGATCAGTTTCCTCACCGCAGGGGCGCATTAGCGACGACGGCAATGCGGCCAAGGACACCCCCACAAACCACGCATCTACCACCAATCTCCACTCACGTTCCCCCTTTGGCGCCTTACCATTTTTCACACCCTTCGATTGCCCCTCTTCAGTCTGTACCTGACTCAAGGAGGTCACAGCACCCGAACACGTTGCCGGAGATCCAATCTTGGATAGATGCACCAGCTGGACGGACGTCCTACTCCGCGCCGTCGTCAGCAGACCGTGGACATGAAAGTGGGCGTCAGCGGTCACCACCACGGTTGCACCACGTAGATATGCGTTCGTCAAGCGTTCATGAAGCGGTGGCATGAAGGAGGAACGTTCTCCCGTAATAGGCCGGAGCTCCGTGGAGGAAAACGAATAACCTAAAAGTTGATGCTTCTATGCCTGCTTATTCGCTACTCGACTAGTCCGATTTCTTGGATTAATGGCTAGAACGTGCCATCAGGTCACCGCATTCGTCGTAATTATTTGAGTTTGAGATACCATTCGCAGTATTCGTATTGTTTTCGTATATAAAATTGCAAAACGACAGTAGCTAGCTATTAGTACATGTACGCCTACGATTTTTTTGGAGATTTGGTTGTATTCGTATATGCATACCCTTTTGATTTGGACGTGTACATGGGACCGTCGATCTTGCGATCAATTTATCAAATATATATTTGCTTCCGCACTATCGAATTACCAAATTTGGAGCAGTGGAACGCGATCAGTTGATCGGTTTGATCGATCTGACAAAGCCTGTCAAGAGTCATCCGCAGTAGAATTTAGTAAGCCAGCGCTTGTCATGCAAAGATAACATGTTTTCGGAAGCCTCCGTTCCAGGTACATCAACGGTCCGGAGCGCGCAATCACCGATTATACCTCGGGTTGCCGTCGGCCTAACGTTGACCAGGACTAGCAGTCACGAAGAAGACACGTATCCGATGAAACATGATCTATACCGGAAATCTCCCCAAAAGTTTAAATATGATAACGGTTTTTATTTTATTTCCACGGAAAGGTGGTCGCAGATCACGGCGCTGCTCCGAGGATATACTTGGAACACACATGGCGCATCGGGCATCCGCCAGACTACCCTAGTACGTTCAGCTCACTTTCAGTGCTTCCAGGTCCTTGTACGGGCCCGCAAGAACATACCACCGGAACTTCGCTCAGCCTTGGAAAGAAGGGAAACTCCGAGTTCTGATTTACTCTTGATCCGTGGAGGTCCTCACGTGATAGAAGTTCTTATTAATGAGGTAGAGCAGTCCCTTTAAATTCGCCTATCAAACCACAACTTAAACCAGGCACTTTTCATTAAAAAGGGCTGATGCTCTGTCAGATAGGACATACGACGGTCATATCTCTTCTTCGCCTCCTACAAGACTCTAGCCCCACTAGCGATCCGCTCATCCATCAAAAGGTGATTCAGAACGTGAACAACTATGCTTCTATACCGCTTCTTTCACCTCCTCTAGACACGGCTGATAATACCCGTCTTTAACTATAGACTGAGCTATTCTCTCGTAAGCCGCATATGCGTGTGCTTCAGCGTCGAATGCCATCAACCACTCTGGCATGGGAAACTCGAAACTTTTCCCCGAGTCTCCCACTTTCGCCCCGTGCCATTTTTCACGCGTACTCTCACCCAACACCTGTGCATCATACACCCGTTGGTACCTGTACAATGTGACTTGGTCATCTTTTTTAGGGACACATTATCTCACATACCGAATAGATTCCCATGTCCTCGTTCCCAATCGAACGTTGTCTTTGCCAGCAAGGTTCAGCGTAACTGCTAGTGTTAGCCCATCCTCAATCGCTTGAGATGCTCCCTGCGCGCTTGATCTGCCAAATCACATGCTCAGCAAACGCGTTCGGCATCAATCACCCATACTTCCTTACGGCAAAAATGGGTGAGCCGCATCGCCAATCAATACCACGCGACCA